TGTCGATGTTCCGTCTCGTGACCGTTCGCATTCTTCATCTCAATGATGGTGTGGGGGATTGATTCGGTATATTCAATAACTCACCCTCCTTTTGGATGTTTTGTGAAGAGTCATATCTTCGATTCATGATCATAAATCATCAGCTAAAATCTTATTGTAGCTTTAGACTAGGATTTGAGCATTGATTTGAGTATAGAAATATGATCTTCAGGGTGGGCTAGTGTTAAGGAGTGTGGCTGCTAGCATGAATAGGGTACACCTTATTCTTGATTGGATGCGGGTCGGTCAGGAGGTACACCCTTTGACCCCTACCCCCTTAGAGTTGTCTACTCTGTGTACCCCCTGAGATGAAGTTGGATCCCCACTTCATCCCAGACCTTTGCTGATCGTCTCTCAGCAATAACAAGCAACTTTTCCATCTCAACGTGGTCGTGGACAAGCGTGGACCCTATTTTTCATAAGACGAAACTATACGTGCATGCACTTCCAAACTCCTTTCTGCTGCTTCCTTCGATGAAGCGCTTTCTCATAAATAACGACTTTCACATTGCTTTGCTGCTGTGCAACCTTCCACATTCATTCCGTGCTGCACAGGTCAACAGAACCCTTTTCGTAAATGCAGTGGACGTGCTTGTTCATTGATGAAGTTCTGCTGCTGTTCAGTTCGACCTCTTGCCTTCACTTTCAAGAAAGGTTCTTGTGCTGTTCAGTTGGGCGGACCTGATTTTACCTACCTTGCATTCCACATTCATTTGTACTGCTCAGTTCGGGGTATGGCGTTGATGATTTCTTCAAAGGTAGGCCGGAGAATTTACTCAGCGACCGGTCCAAACTTGTCTGGCGGTGGCGATCTGGAGAACGGGTCGTAGATAGCACCGATTGGCACGATATTTGGCACCTAGACTGAATGTGCTGTGGGTTTCGGTGATTTTGAGAGCGATGGTGCGTGGAGTTTGATGACCCTGGGAATATCAGAAAAGGTCATCAGATCAGGCCCCAGTTACGATGACGACCCCTACAGCCGTGGGGGGTTCTAGAATCGAAGTCCTGGACACACACCGAGCAGCACTGATTGATGAAGTAGATGCAGGGGAAAATAGTAGAAGTCGGTCGCTCCCATTTTTTTCGAGTCCCCTCATATAGTATTTAACCGCTGTACGTGTGAAATGTGGTCGTGTTAGGAAACAACTTGAGCACACGGGTTACCCAGTAAGGTCTTACGCTGAAGACTATTTTATAGTGAGTTCAAAGATCAGAAAGGCTTCGCTTAATCGAGACCCCCTCCGTGTACGACACACGAAGGCACACGGGCGCCTTGCTCGACAACGACAGGGTCCACCCCCACGGCCCTTCTGCCGTGCCTGCAAATCCAGGGTGATTTCGTATCAGGTGAGAGGGTGCACAAAGACTATCATAGAATCACGCACAACACCTCCAGCGAAAAGGCTTGAGTGCAGCAGAGGAATTGCAGTTGTGCCTTCCCCTTGGTTGTGCCAAGAAGGTTGCGCAGCTGGTGCGCGAGGCCGTCGTAAGCGTAAGATCATTTAATCTCGCACAGTGACAGGTTAGCCGCGAAATAGGGGGCCTTTGAACGCGTTTTCGGTTGTGAGAGGCTCAACACGCATGTTCCACAGCGCCTCTGGAAGCTCACTTTGGGCTTGACTTTGGGTCGGGGTTAGGATCGAAGATATCTTCCCTCGCAACTTGCCGGGTTATCGCCGAGGGTGCGGTCGTCCGGCCGGAAGGTTGTCGTAGGCTATGTAACCGTTAACCAGGTCAGAGGCTGGTAGTAATGACCCCTCCAGGTTCCGTGGGGTTGCACGAGAACTGCGCATTTCCGGTCTCTTTTGTCGCATTGCATACGGCCTGCGACCGTCCACAACGTGTGCCGGTGGCCACGCCTGTGGAGGTCACGTTGGTTTCGTTGCCGGATGACGCGTTCACGACACGAGCACTCTGGCGAGTACACGGATCGTGTACAAGTCGTTTGGCGAGCGTCGAAATCGTACCACGAAGGGATCGGAAACGATGTTTCGCGGTCTAAGACGTCCGCAGGCGTCGCGAAGAAGTTAGACTGCAATTGAAACAGAACGAGAGGGTGCCTCAGCAGGCATTGTGGAAATGCGGGCTTCGAAGTCGCAGTCGAACTTCTTCTTTGCCACGTCGATCCACCCCTGGTGTATTGGACATCTGAGAGCGACCACATTGGGCCACTTGGCGCCACCTTAGCCTGTATGGCCATCAGCTTTCTGGTCTTATGGCATGTGAATAGCGTCAATTTCGCTCATCATCTAGTTTTGGCGTCTGTGATGGCTTGTTCTAGACAACACCCCCCTCGAATTAGCGCTCTCCTCACCCCTACCCACTTTTTTCGGCTCCAATATCAACCGTGATATTGTGACTCCCGTTCATACATGAGGTACGTATTCACCTGGTCGACTCCCGCTTCGATTGCCGTTGTCTCGCTACTTGCCCTGCATCTTCCGCACCTCCAAGGGCTACCACTCCGAGGCGGTGTCAGAGTTAATTAGAGCGTCCGGGAGCGTGTTGCCCGGCCCACCTCGCCCTTCCTACAATGGAGCGTGTGGCATTTGCCACCTCTTTTGCTAGCGCGCTGCTCACAGTCGGGGTGACCGTATACAAGACATTCTGAGGTGGCCCACCGTACTTGGCGGGCCCACCGAGCTGCAGGATGGGCGAGGTATGCGCCTGCGTCGAAGGAGGCGAGTCGGTCTTCATCGAAATGTACGGCACCCTGGCAATAATAGGTCTGCTCAGCAAGGCTTACTGTACCCGTAAGGGTTTTGGCGACGTCGCGGTGGACAGAGCCATGTTCGAGGTCTGCGCGCAGGGTGCGCGGGCCGTTAGGTTCTTTGGCCCACTGCCATTGCTGATCTTTTTCGCCTTCTTAATTGGGCTCTTCCTCGTCGCAAGCGTTTTCCCGCTTTGGGGTACCAGCGCCGCGCCGTGGGCATCATTCCCGCTTCTTATCGTGGTGGGTTTTGACTTTCACTTCCAGAGACAGTTGTAAGCACTGTGTAACTGCCTCGAGGGTGCTTGACCA